CTTTCATTGGTCGCTGTCCTCCCCGCGTTCCTGTGACCACACCTCCTCAGCGCCGGACTGTTTGCGACCCCACCCCACATGGCTAAGCGGAAGCAGGAAATAGGGAGGGAAGAGAAAGGAGAGTTGAACCAATCAGAAACGGCGCAGGAGGAGGCAGCCAATCAAACCCAGCGTACTTGGAGCCAATGGAAGGGGCGCTCTCTGTCTGGGGGAGGCTGTATCCGGGTTACTGGGCGCGCACCCTTTCCTTTTTGTCCCTAGCTGCTGTGGGGCGTGTGGCGCTGGCGCGGAGCGGGGCACCAAGCTTCTCGATGGGGACGGAGCTGCCCGAGGGGACGCTGTCCAGTCCCCAGCCAGCACCATGGGCCCCAGGCGGGGAGGCGCTGAGGCAGGCGGGGCGCCATGTGGCGCCTCCGCGCCCGCCGCCTGGGGCCCCGCCGGGGCCGGGCTCTGCCTGCGGGGGGCCGAGCTGCTGGGGTCATAGGCTCATTCCTGTGTGGCCGGAAGGGGCCTGGGGCTCGAACCTGAGTCCCAGTTCACGTGCTGTGTAGGCGGGTACGTAGCAGCAGGGAACAGCCGGGGCCTGCGAGCGCTCTGCCTCCCCCCAACACTCTCCCGCATGGAGCATCCCCCAGATCCGGGGTAAGTGGGTCGTGGTTAGCGCTAGCCTGTCCTTGTGCCTTGACGGGGTTCGGCAGGGAGCCTGGTGGCTCACCTTGTGTCTAGAGACACGCCTTCCCGCTCAGGCCTTGCACAGCAGGCTCGAGCACTTCAGCGTGAGGCTCTTTGTGTTGCCTACTTTACAGGCAAGAGGCCCAACGTAACTTGATTAGTGCACCAGCAGAAATTAAACTAACCCTTAAGTGCTTTACTGGATCAAACCCGTGGATGGCTAACTTCTCCTGTGCTGGACCAGATCGGTTCAGTGTCGCTCCAGTCGCCAGTGAGCACTACTGTTTTACAGATCTCAGGTAAAGGTTAATGTTGGCGTGAGGGCATGTGCAGAATTACTGACATACTCTGGTATAAGAATTTAAAACGTTCTGGAATTTAAGACTCTTGTGATAAAGAGGGAACCTTGACAGCTATTCTAAAGCTAAAGTAGCAGTTGATCTACCTGTAGCATGAGGGGGTGAAAGGAGGAGAGAGATGGAACATCAGCAAGAACTTGCTGTATTGATGGCTCTCAATACTGAATTGTGTATGAACTAATCCAACTTGAAGTTCCACAGAACAGATACGTTGCAGGCAATAGTGGTGCAAGATTCACTCCATCATTGGCATGCCTTAGCTTTGACTGGAGGAACCTTTCTGGGTGCAAGTGTAACTGAGTTGCCATGAGCATTAACTTGTTGTCCACACTTGACACTAGAAGAATACCCAATGTTTTACTGTGCTGGCTTTTGTAATGTAGATAACCTGCCCACTAGAAAATGGACCTAAGCCATTAACTAGCTATCAGATAGTGAAACCTTTGTCACATGTGACAGACATCTACTACTTTCTTCTTAGAGCTAAGTGAAGTGTTGGTTCAAGGGGTGGTTAAGTGCTACTGTTCACTTAATATTTACTTGACACATGTCCAATGATTAAAACCTTTTCACTGCTGTTCACATCATGATGTGCTGTGATTAGTCTTTGTTTGGATGAGGATATGTGATTTAAAAACCGACATAATGTGCTGACATAACTTAAGTGGAAGGCTAGGTTAAGCCAATAACTATTACTAATGCAAATAACTGTTGCTGCTAACGTTGATACTTTTTGCACTGATGTAATTTTGGGAAGAAAAATCACTTTTAAAATGTACGTTCTTACTCCTTTAGGGATTGTTCTACTAATAAGATCTGCCAGGCAAGCTTGGAATCTGGAAGTTCACATTACTTAACTATTGTTCAGGTGAGGGTTTCATTAAGTGATTTTGAAGTATAGCTGATTTTCCTAATTAAACTTCACATTTGAAAGACTATTGTTGAATCCAACAATAATTTAAGGCTGTTTAAAAATGAGAACTAGATATTTAATTTTACCTACATTCTTTAGGAAGGGGCATCACTTCCCATCAAAGTCTAAACTGATTGTAGAAGAGAGATTGGCAACTTAGCAGTGAATTGCAAGAAGCTGTAACTTGCCGATGTTAGGTGTAAGTAGTCCTCTTCTCTGATGTGGGCTCCCCCCCCCCCCCCCCCCCCCCTGTGACTGACTTAACTGACAAAATAACTTAAGTGTAGACCAAGTACCAAGCATCAAAGAAAGGGGGGCCTCTGGTTTTTTTTTTTTTTCTTTTGCCCTGTAACAGTAGCTGCAGTGGTAGAATCCCTTGTGTCCTACCCCAAAAGTATCTTCCTCCAAGGCCTGTGTTCCTTGCTGGCCTGTTTCCTGTCCTGAGCAGATAAAGTTGCTTACATCATGGTTCAGCAAGTTCTTGGGGGGGGGGGTGAAGGGGAGAGAAGAAAAAGAATATTTAAAACTATTGAAATAAAAACCTCAAATAACCTTAGGTTTAGAGAGCCTCCCACATTTTAAATGTGGTTAGAGAATAATTAACTTGGTTTTCTCTTCAAAAAAGTGTGTTTTTATCAAGTTTAGAACTTGATTGGGAATTGGCAAACCATGTATAAAAGCTACACGTAAAGATTTGCAAGATGAACATTGTACGTTTTTTAATGTATTGTGTTAATTTGTTTTGCCTAGTGTCCAATGATTAAAACCTTTCACTGCTGTTCACATCATGACTCACTGTGATTAGTGTTTGGCTGGATGAGGACATGGGGTAAAAAATTCAAACTACATTTAAAAACACTGGTAGTCAGTTCAGTTCACAGATTAAGAAAAACATAAAATACACTTCTGGAATTCATTCGGTTTGCATATATAACAAAATAACTTCTCCTTTCCCTCCCCAGCATTAAATTATTGCTCTTGTCTTGTGAAAGGTGAACTAAGACTTTTCTGACTGCACTTGTTGACACGTGGGTAAGCATTAATGCTTTTTTGTTAATTTCTTTGTTTGCTGATTCAGTTTGTGCCTGGTATTGTATCTCTCAACAGTGTATTACAGCATATTAGTGTGTACTATAGTACCTCAGTGCAACTAGTTTGGGTTTGACCTTGTTTCTGATTCTGAATTCTTTTTTATTTTTGTTAGACCCATCATGTTTGTTAGGAGTTTATTTTGTATATTCAGACCCCAGGTCTTGGAGATGACAAGGGGATAATTTAAAATAAACCGAACCAGACAGTAATGAGCATGCTTTCTAAAATAAACCTGTAAAAATTGCATGGGTCTGTTTCTAGAAATACAAAAAATTGTTTACACACTACTGGGAGGACATCCTAATTGTGGTTGTAATAGACTGTAGGCTTTACTGAACTGTTACTGAGCTTGGTAACATGCAGAGACAAGATGGGTGAGGTTATTTTTATTTAACCAATTACTGTTGGGGAAAGAGACAAGCTTACACAGAGCTGCTCCTAAATTCCCCAGACCTGAAGAACATTTACTGAAGTTGTGGGCTTACTGAGCGAAGACTCCTAAGAATGTTGAAGTAGATGTTAATCTGCACTAAATTAGACCTGTATCTATATATTGTCAAAGATCTAATATGCTTTTTTACTTTTCAGGTAATTGTGAAGAGTTTCTATGTTCCATCTGAATTTCTTCTTTCACCTTTAACGAAGATACTTGAAAATTGTTTAATTTGTTTCCTCTTTTTCATTGAGGAGGTTAAAGTAATCTAGTTGCTGATGTAATGCTTTTTATAGTGGAAAAAGTAGTGGTGAAGGCAAGAAATCAGTCTCAAAGCATTTGTTTCAGCTGCAACCTGTAAATCTTGGGAGATTGCTTTTGGAGGCTATTGTAAAATCCTGTTCATTTGTATTGGTAATAAACATGATATGCTGCCCTTGATTTAAATATGTGGCGTCTTGGCTTTATTTCTATTAATTCTCTGTTCTCACTGCTGTAGAATAAGTGCCTCCAACATGAATGAGCTCTAAGCCTCATAACACTGCTGTTAGTTAGGAAACCATCCCTTGTTTTCACCTGGGGAATTATACTAGTAGCAGTCTCACATAATATTCAGCATGGAGGGAGAAATGTGACCTTTCCATGAAAATGGCAAATCCCAGTCATTCACCCCACTAAAGGTGATCAAAACACTTTGCACTTGCTGGGGCTTGTCCAGCCCTTGGGCCACCCTGCTTTGGAGAGGCAAACTATGGTGAAGGAGGCCAGCTGTCTCAACTTACTTTGTGCCTTCAATGCTAGGGTCTTGTACTGAATAGCAGAACATTTTGGCAGTGGAATTTGGTCACAGATCAGAAACAAATGTGAGGCAGCAGAACTGTACTGGGCAAGTACGTGGGAGCCTCATCTCCTATAAGGTTTTGGGGCTCTTACCAAAGAAAGGAGAAGGGACAAATGTCTCATTCCTTCAGGCCTCTGAGGCTAGGCAGGGCTGCTGGAACCATTTGTATAGTGTACTAAGAGCCCCTGAGCCAAACTAAACCCTCTGTATGATGGAAACCACTTCAAGGAGGGGGCGAGGGGGCGGCACCCCTACTTCCAGTGGGGTGAGGGCAGCCATCCAGCTGCTCCATCATTAAAGCTCTATTAAAACTCCCCCGGGTAGCCGCCGCAGCCGGGGGCTGAGCCGGGCTGCCCTGGCCGGGGGTGTAGTGACAGCTCGGCAGGCCCGACGCTGGCGGGCCGCCTGGACGGGCACGGGCTAGGCCCCTCTGCAACCCGGCCCCCTCCCGCTGGGAGCTGCGCGGCCCGGAAGGCGCCGGCCGGCCGGGCGGGGTCTCGCTGCCGGAAGCCGGGGCTGACGAGGGCGGCGCTCCGGCTGCCACGTTGAAGCGGAACGCGGAGGAGCCTCCGGCCGGGGGCAGGGAGCTGAGCCACCGCAGCGGGACGTGGAGAGCCCGGCCCCGCCAGGTGAGGGGAAGCGGGGCCTGGCCTCGCCGCCGGGGGAGCGGGCCGGGCGCTGCCGGGTCTCTCCGTTCCTAGGGCGGGGGGTTGCCCGCTGGGGCCTGGGCTCCGTGTGGGCAGAGCGGCCCTATCTCGCAGGGTCCCCCTCCGGGCGCTGGGCAGAGCAGCCTCGCTTCCCCGGGGCTTCCAGCTCGCTGGCGTGGCCTGGGCCGGCCTCTGCTGCTAGCTCTGCCGCTCTGGGACTGGGGTCGGGCGTTTTCTCTGCTGCCTGCGGCAGGGCCAGTCCCTAAAAGCCAGGGCTTAATTTGTGCCAGGGCTAAGCCCCGCCACCCCTAGGCTTGGCACTTAATAGCCCCGGCACCGCTCGGCTTGCCTTGTCCGCTATTAAAGGAGCAACATTACTTGTGTCCTGGCTCCTCTTTCATTACAAACTAAGCACCGCTGAAAGCCGCCTTGCTGTCAGCTGAAAAGTGACAAACTCTGCCCCCAGCCCCTCTACCCGGAGCAGTGGAGGGTCCTGTGGATATCAGTGTTGTGGGAAGAGTGATTAGACGTAGCTTTGTCATAGTAGCCTCTGAGGTTGTTTAATATATTTTACTAATCTCCATCTCATAACTTACTTCAAAACGCACGTCATATGGATTTGGTACTTCTAGGGTTTATAACCTAACCTTAATTTAAAAAATGTTATGCCCCATCTACACCATGTTTCCAAAAACCTTCTGTCTAAGCCATCTTTAAACACAGTATCCAACCGCAAGGGAAAAGTGTAGATGGAGCCTTAAAGCTCTTTAGGAAAAGGGATTCTAGAAAGACAAAGAAAGATTGCACGATTGCGCTGAGGATCACATATTAATGACCATTTTGAGATTTTCGTCTTGCTTGTATTATCCAAGCTAGTAGATATGTAAATATTACCCTACCACAGTTACATAGAGATACCGGTATTTTGTAGCAAAACTTATCTGAATGGGAAAAATAGTTTTGGGAATATTTCTAGTGACTAGCCCAAATACAATCCTGAATCTTTGATTTGCAGCTCCCAGATGTTATTAATGGATACTGTAAAAATACTTGTAATTATAAATGTGCACGTAAGAAAGTATATTTCTCCACTCTTTTAGTCAGTGAATTTAGTATTGTTAGTGAGAATTTTTATTTTCATTTGTAAAATATATGCATCTTTTATAGCCTTTCTGTACTGTGACATATTGACCATACCATGCTATAAGTGAAAAGTATAAGGAAAAAAACATGAGCCTCAAAGGTGCTGAATCACTCAGGATATCAGGCCACATGCTAGAACTTCTCTAACGAACTTTATTTATGAGTGGTTCACTAGAAAAGTGCAGTAACGTGTTTTTCCTGGACAGTATAGATGGGGCTGTAGTGCCAACATGGCAACAGCAAGACTTTCAACATACAAATTTTCCTTTGCCAATACCCTTGTGACTCAAAGTGAAGCTATGTCATTACCATCGTATAAAATAGACACTGTCAAACAGATGTATTCCTTAGACTGACGTCCAACCAATCTTGTGGTGCTAAAGAATTTATGAAATTTACTGTTATGTTATAAAGAGGAGGGGAGCCCATCTGTTTTGTTATGTTCTCTTTTAAAATGGTGTTTGGTTCATCAAAGTCATTAAATAATGTCACTCAGTGTCCACCTGGCAGTGATCTCTCCTATGAGGGAGGGATCCCAGTTGGTCCTGGCAGAGAATGGGCAGCAGAGTACCCTGCATGTATAGCTGTTTTTAACAGTAAAAGTATAGGCTATGTGAAAATTAGAGTAGGATTTATGTGTACATCCACTCTAGAAATCACTTTTAATATCCAGAAAAAACTCTGGAAAAGCAAGCCTTGTTATGAACAAATGCAAGAGATTCCTTATCTAAAATTGAACAGTAATATGCATCTTTGTGATTCCCCAGGTGCTTCATGGGTGTCTGCACACTGAATGAGGACACCCGGTAATCATCTTTTCCTTGAGCAGTTTCAGAGAAGGATTGTGCAACCTTGCCATTTTTTACTTAAGGGTTTGAAGTCCAGTCAGGCTGTTTCCACACAATAGCGTTCTTCAGCCCAGTGGAGCACACACCTGCTTGGCTTAGAGTCAGACTCCCAACTAAACCTCACTCAAGTTTGGGAAAAGCATTTCTGGGACGGGTATTTGAAACTATTTCTTAGTTTTAAAAGTAGAATGAGGATACACATGGTACTTTCAGCGTGAGGTGCCCTACTAGAATGGTTTTTAATTCAGTTATATAAAGAGATCTAATTTTTTAAATTATTTTTGAGGTCTGCTACAAACTAACTTTGTAAAATATCCCCCTAAAGGATACAAAATTTAGATGAGTGAGACAAACTGTGTGTTGCCTATTAAATTATCAAGAGCTCTGTTGAAAAGACCTTTGTCTAGTAACAATCTAAGAACTCCTGATATTGATTATAATGTGCATATTTGATGTAAGATGCAGAGTTCACAGTTAGGGCCCTACCAAATTCACGGCCATGAAAAACGCGTCATGGACCATGAAATCTGGTCTTTTGTGTGCACACAAAAGACCAGATTTCATGGTGGGAGACCAGCCTTTCTCAAATTGGGGGTCCTGACCCAAAAGGGAGTTGTAGGGGGGTCACAAGGTTATTTTAGGGGGTTGCAGTATTGCTACCCTTGCTTCTGTGCTGCCTTCAGAGTGGGGTGGCCCTTGGCCAGGCGCCCAGCTCTGAAGTCAACACCCTGCCCGCAGCACTGCAGAAGTAAGGGTGGCAACACCATACCATACCATACCACCCTTACTTCTGCGCTGCTGCCTTCAGAGCTGGGCGGCTGGAGGGTGGCGGCTGTTGACTGAGGGCCCAACTCTGCCGGCAGCAGAGCAAAAGTAAGGGTGGCAATACTATACCATGCTATCCTTGCTGCTACTGGCGGCGGCTCTGCCTTCAGAGCTGGGTTTCCAGACAGCAGCCGCCGCTCTCCAGCTGCCCAGGTCTGAAGGCAGCGCCACCGCCAGCAGCAGCACAGAAGTAAGGGTAGCAGTATCGCAACCCCCCCCCCACACACACAATAACCTTGCAAACCCCCCCACAACTCCTTTTTGGGTCAGGACCCCTACAATTACAAAACTGTGAAATTTCAGATTTAAATAGCTGAAAACATGAAATTTACGATTTTTAAAATCGTATGACTGTGAAATTGACTGAAATGGACCATGATTTGGTGGGCCCTATTCATAGTATAATTATCTGGGTATGTGTTGTCAGAATGAACTTCTGTAGTGTCAAGATTGAAATCAAGTACAGGAAAGAATTAATTGAAACCTTCCCATTATCATAGAGTAAGTGTGGCCAATAAAGACATTTAAATTTTGAGTGTTCCCACTACTCCCTTCTCTAAGAAAATGTACCTCATTAAATAAAAATCAGAGGACAAGATATGTTGTGCCTTACTATTAATTTGCCCTACAATTTTAAAGTCTATTTTTGGGTCAATGTGACATTAGATTAATTATTATAAGCATTTTACAAAGGTTGAACAAACTCTTTTTTTCTGTTGGAAGTAATTTTCAAATTACCATTGCAAAACTCACCAGTCCAGCTAGTGCAAAAAGTTATATTTTATACATCTTTGGCCAGGGTTGGCAGTTTTCCAGGAAAAACTAGTTTAGGATGGAGTGCTGCTAAATACGGTTTAAACCAGGAAAGTGGGAAAAATAATTGCTTCAGTGTCCAGCAACTTCAGCAAGCATAGGACAAATCTTTTCAAACTTTGGATACGTCCATTAAAAACTAAGGAATAGGTTTAATCTATCCACTACATGAAAGTTGGTCTTCTGCTGCAGAATGTTGTAGGCCAAATGGGTTAAGGTCGTTGTTTTAGCTGTTGTAGTTATAGTAATAGTACAACTCTTCATACTTCTGATTGCTTAATGCAACTGTGCATTATTGTTTTTATATAATCAAATGTTTTTGACTTTTGTTTATATAATATCGAAATATGAGTCATGACATGTATAACTTCCTTAAGAAAATACAAACCCAAATATATAGACATTCCCATGTTCAGCATCATAATGACTATATTATTACACCCGAATGCAGTTTTGCTCTTTATTTGTACAACCCTAAATTAATCTGTGTAGCTACTGCCTTAAGTAACCACAGTTTGAATATGTAATTTAAACTAATATAATGTGATGTGCATGAATGAAACAATTTTTAAAATAGCAAATTTGCCTTAAACTGGGACTAACTAGTTTTATCCCTATGGTAAAAACCTTGATTTTACTTGGTAACAACCAGCTCTGGTAATTACCATGCCATCCCTGCCTTGAGTAAGTAAATTTTTGCAAGCCTGAATTATTATATTTCGTTTAAAATGTCTCTGTGTTGCAAAGTCTTTTAGATTACTGTGTGCTGGGCTCTGTTTAGGAGGCATTTGCTGAAAAATTTGAGCATTTTCCAGCAAACTTTGAGCTGGAAGACCAGTTTATCAATTGCTTTTTTTTTTCTGAATTATCTTGCATCACATGATAATTAACCTTTGCACTTCTTCACACAACTTTTTGTTCATGCACAAAAGCTGCATAAATCCTCTTGTGAGGACTGTGTGACTCAAAGTCGTTGAGCATTTCAGGCTTTCACTTAAACTTTCACTTCCTTTTAAACCATTAACTGGAAACCACAATTAGGAGAAAATTCTTGGCACTTCAGAATGTCATTATTATGGGGGCCATATAACCTTTTCCTGGGTGATAGGGTAGAAGATGGTAACTGAAAAACTGTTGATGTCTGAAATGAGTATTTCATGTTACTTATCTTTTTATATGCACATGCTACCTCAGCCTGTATGGGAAGAGGGACATACCTAAAGGGATACTTTAAAAAATTTTTGTACTTACTATTGTTAGAAGTAACACCTAAAGTTACTAGAATTTAAAGAGATTTTTATCTTTTTTGCTTGCTTGCTTTGTACATTTGACAAGCCTTTACATGGAGTCAATTTCATTGTTTTCTCTGTATAATCAGTCAGGGATTGTTGTTTGTGTGGGTCTTGCACAACATTTAAAAATAGGGAAATGTTGTTGTTAAACCACAAAAATTGGCAGACAGATTCAAGGACAGGTATTGCACCTGAAACTCCTTTACATTCATTTCTTGAGATTGCTAGAATGCAAGTTAACTATGTCCCTAAAATCTCACCAAGGAACAGGATTAGGAAATTCTTTGACATGGTTTTAGAAACCAATGTGGTGGTTTTCAATAGTGACTTTGTGGTAAGTTTCAGTAGTTTCAGCTCTGATGACAGTTTATAAATGTCAGTTTGGGCATTTAGAAACATGGACAGTATTTTAATTTAAATGTAACAGCTGCTACAAGATATCAAGTTATATCATGTAAACTCTTATTAGCAAAGGCATTTGGTCTAAGAACAGAATCTCACAGCAGTTGCTATGTTCCCCAGGTTTATTTAGTTTCATTCAACATGTTTAGCAAATATTAATTTCCTGTAAACTTCAATAATATTTCACCATTGCCCTCCTCCATACAAACGCCACATCATACCCACAGTTGTACTGGTGCCATTTCCTCCAGATTTTCTGTATTACAAAAGTTATCTTCTTTTAGCAGGATGAAGTTAAAGGAGATTGATCGTACTGCTATGCAGGCATGGAGCCCTGCCCAACAACATCCCATTTACCTGGCTACAGGTAACTTGTTGAAGAGTATGGTCCCTACCCATGGAGCTTTCTATGCATATGGTGTAGATTATAATATACTCACTGTACTTGTAGTTTATAATAGAAAATTAATGTCCTGAAGGCTGAAATAGTGATTGAGAATGTAATGCAGTACCCACTTGCAATCACTTTTCAACCTCTGGAGTATCAGCTTTCCCTAGAAATCAAAACCCCAGCCTACCATATACCTTGTAAACGTGCATGTTTGCCCTAAATGTACGGCAGCGTTGGTAACTTAATTTCAAGGCTTCTCTCTCCTATATCATAGGATTACATGACCCAGTCTTTACCAATGGCTTGCAGTTTCTCAGTTTTGGCTGCCAAAACTATTGCCTTTCAGTCAATTTCTGAGTTTCTTCTGATACTTGTGTGGGATTCTTATACAGCAGCAGCGGAGAGGAAAACATCACACACCTCCCTTTCTTTTCTGTTTTTTTAAATTTTATTTTAATGGGAAAATTTGGTTGTAGAACCAGGAAGGGGATTTAGGGGCAGGTGAAATACCTGAAACTACTTTCAACTCCCTTTTTAAAAAATTGACTGTTTTGTGTTCAGTGTACCTCTGAGACACTGAAGATTTTATTTCCTTTGTAGGATTTGATACTTTAGTAATTTGCAATTCCGTATTTTATATTATGTCATTCCGATACAATAGTATGTTTCTGCGTAGGTACATCTGCTCAACAGTTGGATGCAACTTTCAGTACCAATGCTTCTCTGGAAATATTTGAACTGGACTTGTCTGATCCTTCGTTGGATATGAAATCCTGTGCAACTTTCTCCTCCTCGCACAGGTATGAATTGGGGTTCCAAATTTATGGTCTGCTTTATAAAAATGCATTTTTTGTGGCATGATATGGGCTGCAAGGATAGTGTATGAAGCTTTAGCCCTGTGTCAGTGTTATTAGGAAAGGTAAGAAGGATGGGCTTGTGGTTAAAGTTGTAGACTTGGACTCTGGAGACCTGGTTTCAGTTCCTGTTCTGTCACAAATATCTTGGGCTGGTATCCGTTGGGTGATAGAATCATAGAAATGTGGGACTGGAAAGGAACTCGATAGGTCATCTAGTCCAGTGTCCTGCACTCATGGCCTGACAGGTGTTTGTCTAGCCTGTTCTTAAAAACCCCCAATGACAGACATTCCACAGTCTCTTTCAGTAATTTGTTCCGGTGCTTCACTACCCTTATAGTTGGGAAGTTTTTTTCTAATGTCTAGCTTTAATCTTCTTTGCTGCAATTTTAGTCCATTACTACTTGTCCTGTCCTCAGTGGTTAAGGAGAAGAATTTATCACCCTCCTCTTTATAACAACTGTTTACATATTTGAAGATTATCACGTTCCCCCCACAGCTTTCACTTCTCCAGACTAAACAAACCCATTTTTTCTCCATCTTTCCTCGTAGGTCATGTTTCCTAGACCTTTTTTTGTTGATCTCGTCTGGACTGTCTCCAATTTGTTCACGTTTCCCAAAGCGTGGCACCCAGAACTGGACACAGTACTCCAGTTGAGGCCTTATCAGTTCTGAGTAAATTGGAATAATTACTTCTCGTGCCTTGCTTACAGTGTTCCTGCTAATACATCCCAGAATTATATTTACTTCTTTTGCAACAGTATTACATTGTTGATTTATACTTAGGCTGTGATCCACTACTACCCGCAATCCTTTTCTGCAGTTCTCCTTCCTAGGCAGTCATTTCCCATTTTTCATTTGTGCAGTTGATCATTCCTTCTGTGACAAAGTTCCTCCTCTACCTTGGTGGGTCCTGCGCTTATTGGCAGATTTGCTCGCTTCATAGATTCACCCTGTGGGTCAGGAAACAGTCCAGAGACCTTCCCCTCTGGTAGAAACTATAGTCCAGGTCAATTCCTCCTGTGTTGGATCAGGAGCTGCGAGGTATGGGGGGAACCCGGGCCCATCCTCTACTCCGGGTTCCAGCCCAGGGCCCTGTGGACTACAGCTGTTTAGAGTGCCTTCTGGTACAGTTGCACGACACCTACAACTCCCTGGGCTACTTCCCCATGGCCTCCTCCCAACACCTTCTTTATCCTCACCACCAGACCTTCCTCCTGATGTCTGATAATGCTTGTACTTCTCAGTCCTCCAGCAGTACACCTACTTACTCTCAGCTTCTTGCACACCTCTTGCTCCCAGTTCCTCACACACTTCCTCTCCTCTGGCTCCCCCTGGCTTGACTGGAGTGAGCCCTTTTATAGCATCAGAGGGACCTTAATTAGAGTCAGGTGCTTAACTGCCTCACCTGACTCTTAGCAGGTTAATTGGAGTCAGGTGGTCTATTAGCCTGGAGCAGCCCCTGCTCTGGTCACTCAGGGAACAGAAAACTACTTATCCAGTGGCCAGTATATCTCCCTTCTGCTACTCTGCTGTTCCCAACTGGTCTGGGTCTTTCACACTTCCTAAGTGTGATACTTTGCATTTGTCCTTATTGAATTTCATCCTATGTAATTCAGACCATTTTTCCAGTTTGTCAAGATCATTGTGAATTCTAATCCTGTCCTCTAGAGTGCTTGCAACCCCTCCTAGCTTGGTATCGTCCACAAAATTTATAAGTGTGCTCTCTTTTGTAGGCATCCTTTCATCTGCAAGAGACAGTGGGAATTGCAGCCTACGATGCAGATGGTTTGCAATGTCTCATGTGACTAAATAGTCCAATCCAAGATTTGCATGATCTTTAGTGTACTCTCTGTGCCGTTATCTAAATCATTTATAAAGATATTGAATAGGTCTAGACCCAGGACACATTCTTGCAGGACCCCACACAATATACTCTTCCAGGTTGATTGTGAACCACAGATAACTACTCTCTGAGTACTGTTTTCCAGCCAGTTGTGCACCGACTTTGTAACAGGTTTGTCTGTATTTTTCTAGTTTGTTTATGAGGTATGTGAGACAGTATCAAAAGCCTCACTAAAGTTGAGCTATGTCACATCTACTTCTTCCCCCAATCCGCAAGGCTTGTTACCCTGTCAAAGAAGGATATTAGGTTGGTTTGACATGATTTGCTTTGTTTTTGATGTAAAGGAAGATAACAGTTAGGGCCCTGAAGAATTTCCAGAGAGCAGAGGGAAAGTGTTAAGTGTGCTCTTAAAAATAGGAAAAGGCAGTTATAGCTTCCACATGTTGTGTCATCCTATTGTGGTTAGGTATTGCGGGGGACTCATTTGATGTACCCGCGTGTTTTGTTTTTGCATTCCATATGTAGTTCAATACTTACACCTAGCTATTGGGAAGAAACGTTCCTGATTGTTTTGCTTCATTTAGACCCATATTACTTCTAACTTCATGCTGTGTATTTAGCTATAACTTATATAATTAGCATTAAAAATCCAAAAAGCCATCCTATTGACATCTTAGTGGCACTTGCAGTAGCATTGTAGTGGCTTCCATTCATTGTAAATTGGCCATAACAATGTCAATGAAAGCGTGAGATGCTCTTTTTGGAGATAGAGAAGGATCTGAAAACTTTCCATTGACACTGGATTAGGTCCATTAATCTTTCATACCAGATACAATGTCAGCACAAACATTAGTCCTTCCAGTGACCCATAGTACTCTGTGGAGGTGTGTGCAACACTTACAGATTGTCAGCTGTTCATCAGTGAATAAGCTGTAGTGTCAGCATTAATGTATTTTTATCAAAGATATGTGTGACCGAAATATAGTGTATTGTAGCCCGGCTACACTGAGATATATAAATATCTAAATCCCTTGAGGGATGATGATCATGTTTTACACCACCTTCTTATGTAGATGGAAGTTAATTCCATTTCATTCTCTACAGTCCATTTTTAAATAATGATTCACAAGTCTAAGACTGTTTTCCAAAGATTTACACCAAACACAATTGCCTGAACTTTTAGAAATTATAAATTGATTAAATTGTAATCTGTATAAAACAGAAACGATGTCTTCCTTGTACAGTATCTAACAAGATGGGATCCTGAATCTGATTAGGGCCCTCGGCTGCTATCTTAATATAGATAATAACTGAGAACTGCTCAACACCAGGTTAGAGATATAAAATGTAAGTTAGTTGTGCTGCATATACTCCTCTTGCTACTTGGAGCATTCAGCATATAATACTGATTAATGGCGGCATTGTTAGTGCTGATGTAATTTTTTTTTAAAAGCCCTACCTCTTAGGTTTGTTTTGTTTTTTGTAGAAACTTGTTAGTTTGCTTTCCAAATGCATTAAGGCCACTTTGTAAGAGCAATGCCACAAGAGGGTGTGTCGTTATGTGGAAGAAATGTACTCTTTGCATGGCTGAACATACAGGAATATTGTTTTGTTATAAAACAACTTCATTTAAAAAAAGGAAATCTGGATACTTACAGATTCACCAAGCAGTGTACACCAATATCAGAGATTTATGTGATTGCTTGTAGTTGGCTATGCTTATAATTCTCATTCAGGGATCACCTTTGCAAACATTATCTCAAAAAACCCTATGAGGTAAGTAAGTATTCTGACTTTAGAGCCTTGAACTGAGGCAAATATAGGTTGTGACCTGTCCACTGTCACACTTTTGACAGAATGGGAGAGCTAGGAATAGAACCTAGCAGTTCTCAGTCTCATCATGCCTTTGATCTTACCACCAGCCTGCACTTCCTCCCATAAAGTGTTAGTGTTTTTTATGAGGGAAAACATTATGATGTTCTGGCACTTATAATGATATGGTAATAGATCTTCTTAAATTGTTTATTTTTTATCTTGTAGGTACCATAAATTGATATGGGGACCTCATACAATGGCTTCAGATGGTAGTCTTTCTGGAGTTCTAATTGCAGGCGGTGAAAATGGAAATATTATTCTGTATGATCCATCTAAAATTATGGCTGGAGAGAGTGAAGTTATAATTGCACAGAAAGACAAGCACACTGGGCCAGTAAGAGCTTTGGACGTGAATATTTTCCAGGTTAGATTTTTTTTCTTCACACTGTCATGGATTAGTAAAATGCTATAGGAAATGTTCTTCTCTTGTGATTTTTTGGGGGAAAGTTATATAAATATTTTTGCATATTTTAAAAAAGAAAACAATCTTTGATACTAATCATTATTTGACCTGAAATAATTTTAAAAATCTGATCTGCCTTTTCACCATTTAGGCTATTTACTTTGTGTATTTTTCTGTTTAGACATTGAAATAAAATTGTTTTTCATTTTGTTTCTAGTCAGTTTCACTTTTCAGTTCTCATGCACTACTCAGTGTTATCATGGTTGCAGACAGATGTTGAAATACCTCCCAAAAACTGTTTTCACTGAAATTTAAAAAATAACAACTAAATATTAGTTTTTAGGTTTTGTAACTCTTCCATTTTTGTATGTTGTTCCAAAATAAAGATGAAATGTTGGGGCCTAAAACTCATTGGCTTGACACAATTCTTAAAAGTAGTAAGGACTTAATCACAGAGCTAATTTAATTCCATCACTAATGAGGATTTACCTCTCAAGATATAGCATCTTTCTCATTCATGACTGTTCTGTGAGATCTCAGTTTGTTTTGATTTACTAAGTAGCATTTTTTCTTTTGGCACATGTTTTTACTAAGGCAGTAATTAGTTCAGTGAACTGTGTTTAAATTGCATGGTTTCTGTCCTTGTTTATTATGAAGTTGGAATCTGTTTTGCAACCAGCATTAGGGAATGAGCAAAATGCATTGATATAATAGTTATTTTCCCTCTAGTTCATTCTCCTCAGATCCCATTGCTATTATCTTGTCATTCCTCTTTCACCTGTAAAACTGCTTCAAATGCTTCTCTTAATCTAGGAAATGTTCTTATAGGCCTTGATCTTGTGAATGCTTACTCATGTATTTAACTTTACTCACATTTGAGATCCCATTGAAGTCAGTGGGATTAGTAACACAAATAGAGGTAAGCACAAGCTTAATTGTTTACAGGTTTGGGGCATTAGTACAATGGAGTCATTTTGTGCATCCCCATTCTTTGTGTCCATTTTCTGCATATGAATACTGCAGAAACCAAGAACACTGCCTTGGGAATTTAGGTCCAACTTGCTGCAGAGTATATGGGGTCTTGGCTAATAAATAGTATTAGAAATATTAAGGAATCTTGTACCTCCTCTGAAGTGCTCTTGTTGTGACAAGGGCTACATTCTGAGCTAATGTCAATTGGCACAGCTCCATGGATTGGACCCACAGCATTTGGGAAGGTGAAGGCTGATGCCAGAAATACTCTCAATGTCTATTGGCATTTTTCTATTACAGACAAACCTTGTAGCATCAGGTGCTAATGAGTCTGAAATCTATATCTGGGACTTGAACAACTTTGCCACACCAATGACACCAGGAGCTAAGACCCAGGTACTGGAGTTATGTTTGTCAAATGATTAGAAGAACTCTGAAAAATATGCAGATTATTTAATTTACTTGAAATCTCATACAGACATACAGTATTGAAGCAGTTCTAAGCACCAATCTCTGTTTTCAAAAACTTAATTTAAATATTGCAAATATTACCTTGAATGTAGTTAAGTCCTAGATAAACATCTGTTGTTGTGAGATACATTCCTTAAAATAATGATGTAGATTTCTATTCAGGATAAGAATCATACAAGTATGTTGTTACATTACGTATATTGTATATATTTTGCTCCCAAACAATAAAATAACCCCCAGTGGATGTTTGTTTTTCTGATTGTAAATTTATTGACTGTTACGGCTAAAAGTGGAGATTTCTCTGTTTTGTTTTGAATGTGATCCATTAATAGCTTCAACCTTTATAAAACAATACAGACAGGTTGTAATGAACACCACCTTTGTGAAAATTGACTCTGAATTTTCTGGAGACTTAAATTGCATTCCAAGTAACCAACAATGACTCTATTTATAATGATGTTAATTGTGACTGTAGTGCAGTTTGTGTCCAGTTCTGAATTCTTTTGCACACCCAAACTTCCCAGTAAAGTTAGAACACTTAACTCTTGTGTCGTGTGTCAGCAAAATGACTTATCAGTTGTTACACTTTCAAGTCAGAGTGAGCAAAATCCCATTGTTATGCATTCCTTGTACTGTATTTTGTTTGGTTCCTATGTGAGATTTTCTACCATAATAGTACCAGAGACCTCTCCCAAACAGATCGAAGGGTTGAAGTTAGAGGCAGTTTTAACAAGAAAAGGCATGAAAGTTTGAGTTAGCTGTGGAATCAGCCAGTAATGACTCATCTTTTCATGGGGTAAGATTTTGCAACAAGTTAAATCTGATGGGTCATTTTTGACCTGTCCCTAAGGAGTTGCATGTCAGTTCACCAATGGTTGTTAGAAAGCCAAGGCTCTCTAGTTTCCGCGTGCTTTAAACATCCTTCACAACTCTATGGAGGCTGTGTTTTTTGTAGCCTATTTTGGCATGTTCTACTGTGTGTTTAAGTCTGAAGGATCTTTATGCTGCTGTGAAAGATGCAGATTAAAAAAGAAGGTGTTAAACCTGGCTATTAATAGGTGGTAGATTGTTAGGCGATAGGTGTGACAGTTGTAGATATTCATATGGAATGTATCATCTTAATATCGAAACACCACTGGTTAGCCTGTGTTTTGTTTAAAGAAGACTTGGAGAATAGAAGAAAATGTTAGTTTTCTGTCCTTTTTTTCCCTTCTTCGCGCTGTGTAAAGAAGGCCTGAAAGATGTTTGTGGTATTGTGTATTTTAAAGTTTATTTTTCTCTGTGTGAGTTTACATAGTTGTTAGTAGAAAAGCAGGTTGTATTTACCATGAAAAACTTTATGGTGCCTGGAGAACTAGTGAAGTTATTGCACAATAGTTATTGAGAGAATGAAAGTTGAGCCGTTGAGTAGCAATCTGTAGTCAGGCTGTTTTAAAACGCTTTGATTTTAACTTGTTTTTTGTTATCAAATTAGTCCAATGACTAATGAACATTTTGGAGACATGTTAAAGATCCATGCCCTTTGAGTTAAGGTGTGAGAGCTTGTAATGCACATGCTCTGAGACACCCAAGAAATTTCTAACATAATCAGGGAAGACCAGACTTAATCATAGAATATCAGGGTTGGAAGGGACCTCAAGAGGTCATCTAGTCCAGCCCCCTGCTCAAAGCAGGACCAATCCCCAACTAAATCATCCCTCAAAGCAGGACAGATTTTTGCCCCAGATTCCTAAATGGCCCTCTCAAGGATTGAACTCACAACCCTGGGTTTAGCAGGCCAATGCTCAAACCACTGAGCTATCCCTCCCCCAATAAGGTAAAAAAAAGTAAGCAGAAAAAAACGTTAACACTTGCCCCTCCAAACAAAACACACTGCCTTTCATTTTTCTATACATCACAAAAGACCAATGAAGGGCACAAGTCCAATTTTTAAATACTTTTTTGCGGGTCACTATTAAGCTCTGGGAGACAACAAACTTGCTCCGTCTTCCTCCATAGCTGGCAAATTTATCACAGGCAGAAAGGAAGGAGGGGTGCAGATAGCTAGCGTATATTTAAATGCATGGGTTTTAAAATTTCCTAGTGTCAATATTTGTTCAGGAAGGTAAAACGAACACATGGGCTATGAGGATTAGCTTTGAAAACTTGTTGTTTTAGCCAACTTATCTAATCAAAAATATTGAGCTCTCTGTTGGAAAAAAGAGACTGTTGGGACAAACTGTTTTGTTTGCAATAGCCTCCAGAAGACATCAGCTGCATTGCATGGAACAGGCAAGTCCAGCACATCTTGGCGTCTGCCAGTCCTAGTGGTCGTGCTACTGTGTGGGATCTGAGGAAGAATGAGCCTATCATCAAAGTCAGCGACCACAGCAACCGGGTAATTGATTATGTTAAACTATCAAGAGCCTGTATTAATAATCATGAATGATTAACTATTAGACTTATTCTTGACAAGTGACTGCACGGATTCTCATTAGACTCTTAAGTGACACAGGAACATGTCCCCATTTTATACTACCTGCTGTAAGATCTGTTAATTTTTTAAAGGGCTATAATTATATGCCAAAGGTGGATTATTATTTTAAATAATTAATTTTTGCAAATGATTAAATTAATATTTGGCCGAGAAGGAATTTGGTAGGGAGTTTAGGGTTCAGGCAAGAGAAGGGGACATTATGTATTACTCAGCAGTGAGAAGTCAGACTGGTTAAATGATACGCACTATGCTGATAAATTCAGTATTGACCCATTCATGGCTGCAGTGGGAAGATTTTATTAAAATAGGCTGAAGTGGGAATAAACAGGGCCACGCTCCAGACAGCATTCTCCATGCTTCTGTTTTGGAGGGTTCCTTTTTTTTATAGCTCTGCTTAATTATCTTGTGGTCTAACACTACTTTATCTATCAGATGCACTGTTCAGACTTGGCTTGGCACCCTGATGTGGCTACACAGATGGTCCTGGCTTCCGAAGATGACAGGTTGCCTGTAATTCAGATGTGGGATCTTAGGTTTGCTTCTTCTCCTCTTCGTGTTTTGGAAAACCATACAAGGTATTTATGTCGGCTAGTCTGTAAATCTTGAGTTTTGTTTGTTGTTTAGCCATTTTCCCCATTCTAATCTTGGTTTGTACACAACTCTCTATCAGTTGGTATTAATGCCATCCCAATTTTAAGCTCCAAGGCAGATGCTTTAGCAGCTACTGTTATCCTTAATCTAGACTTCTAGTGATACAACTAGCCTTTGTGCCCAGCAAACCTGTGCCAATGGGCCACACTGGTTTTAAGGAGCTAGAACTGTGAAGAAGGATCCCAGCTTTAATTTAAAAAAGTACATTTCTAGCTGTTTCCTTTGAGAAGAAACATTTACGTTTTTGAGACTATGTAAAATGATTGCAAGGGTGCAAAAGAAGCAGCAGCTGGGCTCCACTTCTGCAGGAGGGGTTGGGGAATCTAAAGATCCCACACCCATACAAACACTCATACACGCTTTCTAATCCAAAATGAGTTGCTTAAATTTGGGGTGTATTCTAATGAATCCTTTCACTAACTTCCCTAAACCTTTGGCTGACCTGGTGTACAGCGGTGTGAAAATGGTGGACAGGAGTTTACTGCATTCAAGGATGGAGGGCAGCAAAAAACTGTGTTGCAAGCACTCCCTGAAAATGCTGATGTTGACTGAGCTAATGTTAACCCTTTAGTAATAAAAAGAAGATTGCCGCAAGTATTAGTCACAGTTCTTATCCTGCAATTTTCCGAGTCCGGTATTAGTGTGACATTTTATTACACAATCTACCTTTGATATCCATGTTTTTTATCAATGGTTATAGTCTTTGGCTTTCAGGTACCTTTCTGGATTGTGCCCTTAGCCTGTGGCTACACTGTCATGCCTCCTGTGCAGAAAGCGGAAAAAATCTATTTCAATAAAACAAATGTTGGCAGCACCTTCTCTACTCTCTCAACATAATGGGGGTGGCGGGGGACTTGGCATTTAAAGATGAAGTGGCCAGGTAATCTAGATGTGTGCTAATGAGGGTGCCTCATTAATCATCATGCATTTATATTAATATTTTCTTACTATGGCTTTTCACACAGGGGTATTTTGACCATTGCTTGGAGTATGGCAGATTCTGAGCTGTTACTCAGCTGTGGAAAGGATGCTAAGATTCTCTGCTCTAACCCTAATACAGGGGAGGTATTGTATGCAAACCATTTTTAAAGGTCATAAACAGAGAAAGATTCTTTGCATTACATTTGTTGTGGAGAACATACTGACTTTGTACATAGATGACACAGTGTTGTGAGAAAACATTTTTTAAAGTAGTTAATATTTGTTTTAGACTGTGCCCTTCATACCAAAACTGTGTTCTCTGACCCCAAACATTTTGTACACACAACCCAACTGAGGAAAAAATGGAAAAGTCTTATACAAAGGTGACCTCTTTAAGACCTGGAAGTGTTAGCTGCTACTGTCAGCCATATATATTATTATAAACCAGAACAGGACAAGACTTGTCCCCCGCTCACTCTTATGGTTCACTGAAGGGACACTGTCATTTCAGTTTTATCCATTTCATCTGCCTCTGCTAAAAGTAGCTTTGTGAAATGCACCTGTCTATGGACTCTTGTTTTTTTGTCCATGGTTTCCTTGAGGTGTGTTTTTTGACACACCTGCTGTTCTTTGCAATCCAAAGAAACCATGAGCCAAAAATCTGGGGTCTGGTGATACATATGGGCAGGGTGAAAGTAAGATAAAATACTTACCGGTACGGGGGCCCGGCTCCAGGCCCCCCAACAAGGGGCAGGGCCTCGGGCGGCAGGGGTGGGGCTGGGGGTCAGCCTCCCCCAGTCAGCCCTTCCATGCTGCCCAGTGCCACCCGGGGCTTCGGCAGCGATTTAAAGGGCCCGGGGCTCTGGCCGCTGCTGCGGTAGCAGCGGCGGTGGCCAGGAGTCCTGGGCCTTTTAAATTGCCGGGCCACAGGGCAGCTGCCCCTTTTGCCCCCCACCATCGGCGGCCCTGGGGGCGCACAAAAGAGGCAGCGACGGTAACATCAGCCTTGTACGAGCCGGTACTGGCAGACACGTCTTACGTCATATGGTACGCCATACCAGCCTACTTTCAGCCCTCCATATGAGATCCCTGAATCCTTTTCCTTGCACATGTGAAAGCCTTTGTAGACCACACACCTGCTCCCTACCTCCTTTGGCCCCCATGGAGTGGGGTATTTGAAAGGACCTGCTTTCTTTGCTTCTACTCTGAGGAAGGAGTTTTTGAAGGTGTTGGGGCTTCCTGGCCAGGGGTTTTTGACATGATTGCATCCATTCAAAGCTACGCATGAGAACTCTGATTTGGGGGAGAAATCAAATTAGTATTGATTGTGTCATTTCTTACTCCACCATTTAAATGGCAGTACCCTATTCTAATACAGATGTTTTTGTACCTACATCTTTATGGCTCTGATTTGGCAAAGCACTTAAGCACATGCTTAATGTTAAGCAGGTGCGTAATCCCACTGAAGTTAAGCATGTTTCAGCTTTGTTGGAT